AAATGCATTGAGTATTTCCACAATGAAATCTAGTAAGGAGGGGGAAAATTACATACCTTCCATTTGGTAAAGAGATCAGCAAGGAAACCGTTCACAGCTTTCTCAAAATATAAATCTCCTAGAAAGAAACAGAATGAGCAGAGGAGGAGGACTATTATTGTTTCTTTCTTGCAATGTCTCCTTTTAATAAAGCAAAGGAATTGGGTATTCAAAGTGAAAACAAATTTGGCTCTATTTTAAAAGAAGATCATAGACTTTCTATCAATCCAAATTTGATCTTTTCCTCACTCAGTGAATAGCTCTATAACTTAACAGAAAAATACAAGATTGCAAAGTTTTCAGGATTTTAGAAGGTGACTTTACTCACAAGAATGAGTATTCTCAACATAAATTAAAAAAAAAATCTGTTAGAAGACAATCTGGTAGACCCCTGGCATTCAGATTTGTCATTTACAGGGTCTGTGGTTCTAAAGCAAATTGGTGACTTCCAGCAAACCTCAATCTGTAGCTTTGCTAACTATCAGTGTGGACTTCATGCACTAGGGGTCAGAAAGGTGGAGACAGTCCCTGCACTTCACAGCAGCTTTACTGTTCTCTTTTCATTGTGTAGGGATGTGAATAAAATGAGATGAATTTATTAGCATAAATTAAAGATTTGAGAAAATTTTTTTTTCCATTAATCCTTAACTATATATTTCATGGGACTCAGATTATTTTCTGGAGCATGTGAGGATTTGTAAAGGCCTAGGCTACATCTTTAGAGAATGTCAAGAGCTTAGTGTTAAGTGATACCAACTTGGGGGTAACCGGAAAGTTCTCCCCAGAGATAAATACAACAAGAACAGTACCATAAATATCAAAATCCCACATTTCACAGCTCATCTGAATAAATATGTAAACCATCGCCGACGTAGACCGAAACACCACCTGGAAAAAAAGGGGCGGAAATTGCATTAAGAGCATTGATGAAAGAATTCTCCTAATTCTGACATAGGAATTTTGCCTTCCTCAAGCTTAAAGTGAAAGATAAAGACACACAACATGTTGTAACATATGTGAACTTTCCATGAAGGTTCAATCAAGAAACAAAACAGAGACTCATATTCTTATCTGGGAAAGTCAAGCAAGTCTCATCCTGAGGTAAGAACTTGAACCAAGAGGTGTCAGACAGTGAGTTGCAGGTTTCAAAAATTGTAATTCATAGCGTTATCTTCTGTTCTCCATTGAGGGTTTCTGGAGGAAAAGTATGATGTTGTTGTTGTTAGATGTTGTCGCGTTGAGTATGCCTCATAGCGATCCTATGAACAAAAGATCTGGACCCTGTTCTGTCCTGCACCATCCTCACACTTCCTGACACATAAGAGCCCATTGCAGCACTCACCGTGTCCATCTACCTGGTTGAGGGTCTTCCTCTCCTTCGCTGCTGACCCTCCACCCTTCCTGACTAAATCACTGGAGCCCTTGGTCAGCCTCTGAAGAAGACTGGTGGGAAGTAAAATGTAAATCTCTCTGACACTCTCAGAGTTCATTAAAGACCTCATTTTCTCTTCCAGAGTGCCAGGAGATATAAAATAATTCCCAGCCAAACTTGCTCTCTTCAAGTTGACTCCCTATCATGTTAGTTGTTGATAGGTGCCACTGAGCCCACAATGAAAAGGCCTCAAGACCCTACAAACAACAGATTGAAAGCCTGCCCTATCCTGTGCCACCCTCACCACCTCTGCTACGCTCAAGCCTACTGCTGCAATCACTGTGTCAACCCACCGCATGGAGGGTCGTCCTCTCTTGTTGTCCCTGTACTTTTCTAAGTCTGATGTCTTTTCTGAGGACTGGCCCCTCCTGACAGCACGAGCAAAGTGTGTGAGATGAAGTTTCACTATACTGCCTCTAAGAGCTTAGATTGTACTCCCTTTAAGACAGATTTGTTTGTTCTTTAAAAAGTCCAAGAAAGATTTCATATTCTCCAACACGGCAATTAAAAGGCATCAAGTCTTCTTCAGTCTTCATTATTCATATCAACCCTTTAAGACAAGGGATTCCTGGGTTATAAATCTTAACAGAAACAGATTGGCTCATTTTTCTCCTGTAGAACAGCTGAGAGTTCAAACTGCTGCTCCTTCAGGAAACTCCCCTGAGATGGGATTAAGGAGTGTTACATTCCACCCTTAATACTTTAATAACTATTAGGGATATCACATAATAGGGAATTGTCTCACAGCTTCCACATTACATCCTTACATGTATGTACTTTAGGGAATAGGACACATTCCACCCTTTCTGGCTTCCCAAAATAGATGTCCTTGTCACATGCAAACTACTTTTACATCATCATATCATCTCAAAAGTCTCATGATCAATTCCAAGTTCAAATTCTATTCTGCAACAAATGTCTCTTGATATGTGAACCTAGAATGCAAGTTATTTACTTTCAAGGAACAAGGGTGACATAGGCATTGATATTTCCACTACAAATGGAAGAAATTAAAGAGAAACAAAGGATGACAGGTACAATCAAGTTAAACATCTACCCAAACAATTATCCTCAAGGTTAATTGAAAATAATAATCTTGAAAAGAATCTTCTATTCTCTGACACCATCTAGGCTGTGGCTCAGCCCTCCAGACTCTGGGTGGCGGCCATGCTCTTTTACTCAGGACAGAGGCCCCATTGGCCTTGATTTTACTTCTCCTTCCAAGCAACTCTGTTGAGCTTCAGATGGCCCCATTCTCCAAGTTCAACGGAGGAGTGATCCTACCTCCTGTGTCCTGGGGGGGGGGGCCCACATTCTTCAGCTCCTGCAGGAAAGACAGCCCTGCTCCATCACCTTTGGACAGAGGCCCCAACTTACTATAGAGGGAATCAAACTGGCAAAGGTCCAGTTCTTCAAACCCTAAGGAATTATGACCCCACAATTCAGGAACTCCAGAAGCACAAAGTATGATTCCACACTTCGAGACTCCAGAGGCTATACAGCCCTGCCCTTTAAGACTAAGGCTGCTCTGTGTCCTAAACTCTAAGGTCTCTAGAAGAACAAATCGAACAAAGCTCTTTAGCTCTACTGGTAAATGCTCAGAAAGCCTTTGCCCAAAGGCACCCAGCTCTCTAGCTCCTTGGCCCTGACAAACCCAGTTTTACCAAATAAATCCTGAAATGTACTCTATTCCACCAGGAAGCCTCCTGTCCAAAGACACTCCTCTGTCTTGCTTCAGGTCATCTTTTATCAGTCTCCATCCATCTTTGCAGAGGACTCCTACTCTATTGCTGCTGTTTCTCTGCCACTGTATCTTGTCGTCTCTAGTGTTAAAATTCTCCTCCTTTCCTTTGGAGACTTCACCAGAATTGCCTTTGTCATCTAACAGTTCCTCCAAGGCAATCAAGACTTTTACTATAAAACACCTTAAAACTCTTCCAGACTCTACTCATTATCCAACTTCAAAACAGTGTCAAAATTTTATATATCTGTTGCAGCAGCTCCCCAGTTCTGGTAACAAATTTTGTCTGAGTTACCTTGCACTGACTGCTATAGCAGCAGTACCGCCGGGGCACTGGCTGGACCTCACATTACCCTGACTCTTCACACTGTTCCTGTTCCTACCCCTGCCGGGTATGACCAAAGGGAAGCTGCCTCCCTTGCCTTTGCTTGACCAGGGCTGGGCCTATAGGAGATGCAAAACTTAAAGACTCCACTTCTCAAATACCTGACTTTTTCTGCTAGGCTACCTCCAACTCATGGACTGCCAAGAGAACAAGCAGGTATGTCTTGGAGAAGTTGTAGCCAGAGTGTTCCTTAGAGGCAAAGCTGATAAAACTTCATCTCATATACTTAGAGAAGGATATCATGCTTGGAATGGTGAAAGGATGGGAAAAGAAAGAAAGATTTTCAACCAGGTGGATTGACACAGTGACTGCAGCAACAAGCTCACATATGTTGGAGACTGTGAGATGGTACAAGAAAGGACAGGACAAATCTGTGATTCATAGGGTTGCTAGGAGTTAGGCTCAATGGCATCTAACAACAACCGCATATTGAAAATATGATCTTGAGAATATCCCACATGTATTTAGAAACGATCTCAAAATATATTTGACACATTGAATAGTAATGACCAGAAGACTAGACAAGCTGTGAAATGCATCACACATGAAGGTTGTTGTTGTTATGTGCCGTTGAGTCCCTTGAGACTCACAGCAACCCTATGTACAAAAGCGCTAAACCCTGCTCTATCCTGAGCCAACCTTATTGTCTCCAATACACCTACTCCTACTACCCCAATCACTGAAATCAATCCATCTATCTCATCAAGGGTCTTTCTCGCCTGCTTTTCCCTCCATTCTCCCAAACATGATGTCGCTCTCCAAGGACTGGTCTCTCCTTGCAACACGCCCAAAGTATGTCAGATGAAACTTCAGAATCCTTGCCTCTGAGGAGCAGCCCAGCTTCACCCTCTCCAGGACAAACCTGTTTGTTCTCCTAGCAGTCCATGGTATATTCAACAATCTTCTCCAACACCACAGCTCAAAGGCATCAATTCTCTATCATCCCTACTCACTGTTCACTTCACAATTGTGAAGACTATAGCCCGGATCAGGAGCACCTTAGTCTCTAGCCTGATGTCATTGTTCTTCAGTACTCTTGAGAGGTCCCTGACAGCTGATTTCCCAATGCAATTAATCTCTTGATTTCCTGGCTGCTGATACCAAGAGTGTTGACTGTGGAGCTAAGCAAACTAAAATGTTAACTATCTCAATCTCTTCACCATTCATACTGACGTTGCCAATTGGCCCAGTGGTGAGGATCTTTGTTTTCTTCATGTTGAGCTTCAATCCATATTGAAGGCTGCAGTCCTTGACCTTCTGCGGCAAACGCTCCAGGTCCTCCTCAGTTTCAGCAAGCAGGGTTGGGTCATCTGCACAACGCAGGTTGTTGATGACTCTTCCACCAATCCTGATACCACATTCCTCCTCATACAGCCCAGCGTCCCAGATGATCTATTCTGCATACAGACTGAAAAGGTATAGGGACAGAACAAATCCCCGGTGAACACCCTTCTCAATTCTGAATAATGCAGTGTCTCCTTGCTGTTTTGATGACTACCTTTTGGTCCAAGCATAGGAGGTTTCACATAAGCACAATCAAATGTTCTGGGATTCCCATTCTTCTCAGAGTCAGCCACAGCTTGTTGTGATCCACACAGTCAAAAGCCTTTGCATAGTCAATGAAGCACAGATAGACATTCCTCTGGTACTTTCTGCTTTTCTGCCAAGATCCATCTAATGTTAGCTATAATATCCCTAGTACCATGACCTCTTCTAAACCCAGCCTACACATCTGGTAGTTCTCTGTTGACGTGTTCCTCCAGTCGTTTTTGGATAATTTTCAGCAGAATCTTGCTTACATGTGATATTAATGATATCTTGTAGTAAAGGTTTATCTTAAATAACTAGAAAGAAAAGACCAAAATGGATACAGAATAAACTGTGAAATTAGCTCCTGAACATACAGAGAATGTCAAGAATGGAAGAATGATGAAAAGAACTGAAGAGATGACTTCAAAGAGAGGGTTGAAAATCCAAAGTCAAGTATCATAATGAAATGTGCAGAGGCTTAGAGTTAGGAAACAAAAGGGGGAAACATGCTCAAGATTTCTCAAGCTGAAAAAAATGAAAGAAAACAAACTTTGAGTTGCAATGCTGTAGGAGTCTATGTGCAAAAGGGAAGATGGATGGGCAGTTTCCTCCTATATGATTAACTAACTCTGAAAACCCACTGAAGGGTCAGCTATGGGTCAGTTCTGACTCAATGGCACAGAAAACACAGACAAAATATTGGATGATGAAAAGAAGATGGAAGAAATAAGCAGTCAGTGTTCAATCACTTCAAAAGGCAGCATATGATCAAGAACAACTGGCAATGAAGGAAGAAGTCCAAGCTGCACTGAAGTCGTTGTCAAAAAAAGACTCCAGAAATTAGTGCACTATCACTTGAGATGGTTCAACATATGCAACACTGGAACGTGTTAGTCATGTATGCCAAGAACTCCAGAAGACAGCTACCTGACCAACTCACTGGAAAACATCTATATTTGTGTCCATTCCAAAGAAGGGCGATCCAAAAGAATCTGGAAATTACATAATATCATTAATTCACATGTAAACAAAATTTTGGTGATGATAATTCAAAAAATAGTTGCAGCAGTACCTCAAAAGGGAACTGCCAGAAAAACAAGCCAAATTTAGAAGACAATGTCAAGTGCGGAATATCATTGCAGATGGATTTTAATTGAATGCTCAGAATATCAGCAAGAGATTTGCCTGTCACTTCCTCAAAACGCTGAACATAGAAATTCCATATGACTCATATGATTCTATATTCCACTACTTGGAATATACCCTGAGAAAATGAGAACTGAGGCCCAAACTGAGATATGTACACCAATGTTCATAGCAGCATTATTCACCATCACAAGAACATGGAAACAGCCCAAATGTCCAACCACAAACGAATGGTTTGAGAAATTATCGTATATTCACACAATGGGGTACTAATGCAGCACGCAGGAGCAATAACTTTGTAAATTATCACCTAACTTGGGAGGGACTGGAGAGCATTATGCTGAGTGAACGCACTCAGTTCCACAGGATAAACATCGTATAAAAGACTGTTATTGTAGAACGAGTATAAGGATCCAAGAGGGGTGGGAGAGGCTGGAAGCAGAGGGATGTGGATGTACAGGGGGAA